ACCACTTTTTGACTATTTTCTCAAAATTGAGTCGAACGATTTCTTTTTAAATTTTAAATCATATAGCCCTTGAGATTCCTCAACTTTTTGCCCTAAAAATTACCGTTTGTAAGATATTAAGCGATAAAAAGTGCATCTCGTTTCAGCTCCGTATACGTAATTTTTATACTTATTCGAGAAAACAAGAAAAAAACCAATTTGATGAAAAAATTCTTATTCGATTTTTTCAAACGGAAAATCTGTTATGGTTTTAGGGTCCTTTACTTGCATGAAGCTTATCGAAATAGAAAATCTTGATCTATTTGTTCTACCACTTTGGAAAAACCCTCTAGTTCGGCGGGAAATGTAAGAAACGACAGATTTCTTTTGGAATCTGAAACTATACAGCCCTTGAGATTCCAAACTTGTGCTTTTAAAATAGGTAATTGACGCGATAAAACTTGTTATTAAAAAGTTTAATATTCATGGGGACGACTCCTAGTCATGGTATTTCGGTACTTAAACTCTTGTGCAAAAAAAAACTTCTGATATCAAACAAAAACACCTCTTAATGAGGTAAAAAGTAGTGGCGAAAGCGCTCTTAACAAAAATTTCTGATATCAACAATTGTGACGAAAAATGATATTACATTCGATAAAATAAATAAACTATATTAAATTTATGTACAGCAGAAAATTTACGTGTAGGTAAATAAAAATTTACTGTTGCGGGCCGAAATCATAAATTTAATATAGTTTATTTATTTTATCAAATGTAATATCATTTTTCGTCACAATTGTTGATATCAGAAATTTTTGTTAAGAGCGCTTTCGCCACTACTTTTTACCTCGTTAAGAGGTGTTTTTGTTTGATTAATAATAGAAGTACATACATATAAACATTAGAAATAATAATAAAACTTACAATTCACAACCGTCTTCTCGCGGACTCGAACCTGTGCTACCATGTGTCGAAGGCGGACGCTCTAGCAGCTGGTCCACCGAGCGAATTTTTCGAGTGCGGAAAATCGGGACACTAGACCTACATACATGTTTTTATGAACGGTGTTGATAATTTAAGAACAGCGTTCTCCCCATTTACTGTCAAGGCATTTTTCAGTGAAGCGTTTACAATTACACCTAAATGTTCATGATTTGACCACGCGGCGTTCGTTTCTTATGAACGGAACTTAGCGAACGGATTGCGTCAAATTATGAAAAATGTTCTTGATTTTTTTCGTTCTTTTTTTTCTGGGTGCAATAAACAAACATCAACCATGTGGCGAAAAATTATCGATTTCGATAGACTTTAACGCGTCCATCGCAGCTTTTTCATGAACGGCGTTCGATATCTGAGAACATTTTTCGCAATTTGGAACCAAGTTGTTCGTCGGTAGAAATTGTACCAACGCCGTTCGATTTTCGTGAACAAACGTTCCAAATGTGAGAACTAAAAATGGAGAACGGATTGTTTGCATTTCATGAAAAATGTTCTTGATTTTTTTCGTTCTTTTTTTTCTGGGTGTAGTGATGCTGATTAAGAATAAATATACTTTATGGGGTCGGAAACGTCTACTTCACTGCGTTACAATAATTTGTAGTGTGTCCAAATGATTGATACCGGTGGTATTGATCGACATCATCCTTTTTGTATGGGAGCTCAACTTAAACCCGTTGCCGACACATCCCATTACTTGTAAAATTATGAGTCTTTGCGCTTAAGATTTCCCGTAAGTCTCACATCATACGCTTCCAAGAAGCAGTAAACCGGCTTGTTAACGTCAATATGGTGTTCAGCTCTCCTGACGCCATCAACGACGCTGTCGAGCTATTTGTCCGGACCATCCACATCGCTGCCGAGTCCTCAACCTGTGGACAAGTCTCAAGCCCCTCCACTCCACCACAGGCTTTTTTAAAACCTGAGATTAGGGACTTAGTAAGTTTAAACCGATCCCTAAGTCGTGATAAATGAGATCTCAAGATCCAGTCGACAAAAGCGCATATCGTCGTGCTGAAGACGATCTTAAAACGTTTTTGTATGAATCCAAACGAAAATATTTTGATGAGATGCTCACCAATGCTGACTTCTCCAAGCCGTACACGGAATATGAAACGGCAGCCTCTCCAAAAGATCCCCATTAAGAAATCTGACGACACATGGTGCAGGTTCGACTCAGACATTTCTTTAGCTTTTGCGGAAGAACTTGAGAATCGCTTTCAGCCATTTGAACTCGCGGGCCGCGAGGATGTTGAAGAAACACTTGCCTTCCTTAATGCCCCTTCCCCGGATGCTTTACCGATCCAACACGTTAGTCCAGAGGAAGTTTTTCTCCATATTCAAAAGCTACATCCTAGGAAAGCGCCGGGCTTTGATGGCATTGATAGCAGAATCGCCAAGGCTTTGCCTAAAAAGGGAATCGTGTTGCTTGTTCTCTTGTTTAGCTCAATGCTACGTATCCAACACTTGATGATAACGATGATACCAAGGCCAGGAAAACCAGAGAACCTTGTCGAGTCATACCGACCTATAAGCTTTATACCCACATTCTCTAAAATATTCGAATAAATATTTATTAGTAGAATCATAGGAGTGAGAAGCGTGCAGGATACCATTCCCGAACACCTGTTAGGTTTTAGGCATCATCATGGGACCCCAGAGCAAGAACACCGAGTTGTCCAGCATATTTTAAATGCTTTTGAAAACACACAATACAGCTCTGCTATTTTCCTCGACGTTAAGGAAGCTCATAAGTTGAAGTCCCTACTCCCGACTGGCCAATTTCTTTCATTAAAATCATACCTGCTTGGTTGAAGTTTTATGGTCCAGGTGAGAAGATAAAATATCAAGCATTAGTATAGTTCGAGCTGACGTTCATCTGGGAAACGTTTTGGGACCTGTTTTGTATACCCTGTTTACTACTGATCTACCGTGTCCTAATGAGCCGGGCATGCTTCTGGCCCCATACGCTGACGACACTGTTTTCTTGGGAACTCCTCCTGCCGAATCGAAGCGTCAAGGATCACCCAGGAATTTCTTGACTCGTACGGCAAGTGGGCAAATAAGTAGAATATAAATAAATGGAGGTAAGTCGCAACACTTCTTTTTTACTTAGAGAGGACATGTTTTCTCACGATATCACCATCCCACAATCACCTCAGGCGCAGAACTTAAGTTTGATCCTAGACAAGCGGCTCACATGTCGTGCTAAGCTTGGGAAGCTCAACTGGTTGCTTAAGCCAACGAGCTAGCTCAGCCCTGGCAACGAAGTGTTGCTGTTTAAATCAGTTGTGGTGCCCTCGATGACTTATTGCATGCAATTATGGAGCATGGCTTCAGACTCGAACGTTATGAAAGTCCAAAGGGACCGAAACCGGGCGCAGCAGATGATTGCAGATGCGTCGTGGTATGACACGAACGACGCCCTAGCAAATGACCTCCTCCCTCTGTCAGGGAGCAGATTAACCGGCACTCGAGTCGGTACAACGAACGCCTTACAGCTCACAGCAATTACCTAGCAGCTTCCTTGGCCCACCCAACGATTAGAAGAAGACTGAACTGAAGGCTGGTCGATCTAGCCATGTCCGTCTGTCTGTCCGTTTCAACGCAAGTTTTAAAGCTATCGGGCCGAAACTTTCCCAAAAGTTTTCTTTTTTTGCAGGTAAGTCGGAACCAGCCTGATCGGACAACTATAACTTATAGCTTCCACAGGAATTATCGAAATTTTTTTTTAATTATATCTTTGGTGTGGATGTTATTTGGAAATAACATTTTTTAATTAGTTCTGAATTTCGAATTTAGTTTTATTAAAAACTATATCATATATGTACCTGCCATAGGAACGATCGGAAAATTGGTGGAAATATAATATGAAACAAATTATAGCTTCGGTGTTTTTTGACATATTATCTTATACTATCTTGTCTTTATATTTTTTTATCTATCTTTTGCATTTCTAAGAACTTCGAAATAAATTTAATAATTATAACTGCAAGGGTATACAAACTGCGGCTTGCCGATGTTAACTTCCTTTCTTGGTTTTGGATCAATTGTTACAAAAAATGTTAACCACCATTCTGTTATTCATGTTAACTGTTTCTCTTTATACACAACGTATTATAGTCATTAAATTGGTTGATCGACGTAATAATAAATTTATACGTTATACTAAAAAAAAAGGCACTTTAAAAAGTGCGTCTTATACTGAGGATAAAAATTAGGCAACGAAAATTACCTCTTCCCCGATACTTGTGATGCAGGTGTGGCTAGCACCACTTTTCCTACTTCAGTGAAATGTGGTGACTAAATATGAAGTCGCCGTAAAAATCCTTTATGTTGGTTGTTAATGGTAACCGACGATAAGCCAAATGAAAATTTTCAATTTCCATTCACGTATAGGTTTGACAGTTTATCTAAAACATTATCTTCTTTCCACTCTTGCACTGTCTGAATTCCATCCAGAAATGTGAAAAAAGAATGCCTCTGCAAATCATTAAGGCTTCCCAAGAAATTTTATACCGAGCTATATGAGAAACACATGTACAAGCTCATACTAACAAACATGTTCAACTAGCTATACGAGAAACACACATATAAGCTTAAAAGGCCTTATGGCGAGTGCTTACGAAGGAAAGGGTCTCAAGTCAACACATGACCCGACCGAACAAACAAACTCTCTCATCGGTTGAGCAGGGAGCAAGACAAAGGCGAACGAAGTTTTTTTTGACAGCGAGCACTAGTGATTAATATCATATACCTGTCTAAAAATTGCTTAAGTCGGACAGTTCATTATAAAACTATGACCAAATAATGCAATCGCCACTAGGGACTCCAGGTAGTCTCGGAAAAAGTGCATATCTCCATCTTCCTTGCGATCCCTTTAGGTGAGTAGCGGGTATCGGTAACATGTAAGAGTTAATAAAAAGAAAGCGCCGTGTTTGACCGAACTTGACTGTGTTCAAAATAATTTTACCCGTAAGATGAAAATTTGTATTTTCGTGTCTATGCCTATCTCTGCTCCTTACCTTATCGATGGCGAGTGCGGCCAATCCAGCCACGCCCAGTGTGTTAAACATTAGCGAACCGATGATTGTCCCAAGGCCCATATCCGACTCTAAGATCAGCGTACTGATCGTGTTCGTGAAGAACTCGGGCATGGAAGTAGCCGTGGCCATGAAAGTGGCCGCTGCCACGTCCTTTGATAGGTGCAAGTCCTCGCAGATGCACTCCACCGTCGGCAGGAAGTAGTCGTTGCAGATGATGGCCAGTAGGATGAAGAAGTAAACTGCGGCGAAGACGTGAAGCACCACCCACCCCTGACGGAGTTGTTCCACTAGAGATTGAAGGAAAAATATGGGTATTTACTATAAATAAAATAACTTTAAAGTCGAGTCTTCGACTATCAGATACCCGTTATTCTGTTAAGATTGTATAAACACTGAACTGTGAAAGGGTGAATTTTTTTTTTCGATTTTCATGGTGTGAAATGAATGAATTTCTTTTAGCCGGCCAAACTGCTAATACGGAATATTACTTGAGCGTTATGAGTCGTTTGCGTGAAGAAATTCCTCAAAAAAGACCAGAATTATGGGCAACAACAATTCTTGGTTTTTGCATTACGGTAATGCACCGGCTCACATTTTACTCGTTCTTCGTTAACAATTCGGCAAAAATTCGACGGAGGATTTAGAATAATACATAAAGATATTTCATTTTATAAACAAATGCACCTTCATTTTTGCCCACAGTAAGAACAGTAAGAAGTAGACGGAAGCTTTTCCGACCCCATAAAGAATATACATATATTCTTGGCCAGGATCACTAGCCGGGTCGATATAGTCGAACATTAATTAAGAGCTATAAGATGCGTATCGACCATTGGTTCAAATATGCAGATACATTTTTGGTGGCGAAAATTTTTAAATAAATGGGAAAAATGTAGAAGATTTTCATTGAAAACTAAAGACAAAATTTGTTGTAAAAAATAATTTCTAGAAGCTCAAAAACTAAAAACACGTTGTAGGTCAAATTTCCGATGCCTAACTACACATAATTCATTAAAATTCCTAAAATAATGATTCTACAACGGGAATGTATATGTATTGATTTTAATGCTAATTACAATACCTTATATAAGTATTACAGCATAAGTAAACAGAACTGCCATTTTATACAGGCGTGCTCCGGTTTTCACTTTACTTTACAAAATATTATTATTATTACAATTATTATATATATTATATATATTATATTATTATTAATTCACAAAATATTAAATTATAAACAAAATATGTCACTAATGAGTTGTGCTAAAGGGAGCAAAGGGAGATGGAGTATGAAATCTGCAAAGCGAGATCAATATATGGTTATGTGGGCGTCAGACATATTTAAGCGTTATGGGCGTTAGAGTGGGCAGCCATGGCAATCATGTTTTTGGTTAATCGATAGTTATTGACGAAACAAATACATTTCAGTTAACATTTTTTTAGAATGAAAACTGTGACCTCCACAGTTAATCAATAAGTCATGATGAGACTAATATATTTCAGTTACAATTTATTTTTCCATGAAAACTGTGGGCGCCACAGGTTTGGGGCGGCTTGTGGGCGTTAGAGTGGGCGTGGCATATTCGTGTAACAAACTTGCGCTGCGTACAAAGCTACGGAATCCAAATCTGAAATCCCAATTCTCTCTATTCGATAGTTTCCGAGATATTCGCGATCATATTAACGATTTTTTGAAGTTTGTGGGCGGGATGTGAGCGTTAATGTGGGCGTGGCAAACTTTTTTTGAGTCAATAGATAGGTATTGATAAGGACAATACAATTCAGTTAAAATTTTGTTTCTAGTATGAAAACTGTGGGCGCCGCAGTTTTGGACGGCTTGTGGGCGTTGGACCCTGCTGAATCAAACTTTCGCTTACATGTCAAGTCCCAACACTCTAGCTCTTATAGTTTCCGAGATCTCAGCGTTAATACGGACAGACGGACAGACAGACAGACAGACATGACTAGATCGACTCGGCTAGTGATCCTGATCAAGAATATATATACTTTATAGGGTCGGAAACGCTTCCTTCTATCTGTTATATACTTTCTGACGAATCTAGTATACCCTTTTACTCTATCACTAATGGGTATAACAAGAGAAAACGCTATAGTCGATGGCCTCGACTGTTAGATACCCCTTAATCAGCTTAAGGCAGTGCAAAAGGGATGAAGATATGCTTAAAGCAGTGGTCGGCACACACATACCATCACAAGTTTGCCTTGCATTAGTGTGAGTGTAACAAACACGAAGTTTGCGCGCGGCGTGCTGAAGCGAGACGTTTCTCTGCTTTGCACTGAGATCCTCTGCCGCAGCAACAAAAAAGCGCCCCGAAGTTGAGAAAAAAATGACCCGAAGACCCATGCCGAAGTCACACGAACATGTACGTTATACGTGAGCGAGCAGAGGATGGGCAGAACACTTCCCTATGCTCACTAGATAGGCCGCTGCCGACCACTGGCTTAAAGCAACTTTTTTCACTAACACACCTAGCGCTTGGCACCACCTATCTTGTTCTTCTATTGCGCCATTTGGCCTACAGCGCCAACTAGCCTTTATCGCCCCTAGCGTATTGGTAGCGTATTAATGAAAACAGCTTATTTTCTGCATGTGGTGTGCAATCTCGATTTAATTGTAAAATATAGATTATTATTTGTTTGTAACTTTTTAATGACTGGTCCGATTTCAATAACTTGTGATAGGATTAAGCATGCAGATTCTTGAGCTTCCTGCGTAACGCAGGTTTGATTCAGCAGGGTGCCACGCCCACTCTAACGCCCAAAAATGCCAATAACTCTAAAAACGATGTAAAAATTTTTTAAAATTTAATTTTTTAATTTTGTTGTATTTATGTTTTTTGTTTTTTTATTTATTAAAAATATATATCCAACTAATAATAAATAATTAGCAAGTTCAATAGGGTTCGATAGGAATGAATGAACGCTAGCTGGCGTTTTTGTGTGGTGTGCGATCATGCACTCCCTCTTAGCTAAGTAACGGGTATCTGATAGTCGAGGCCGTCGACTATAGCGTTTTCTCTTGTTAAAATTAAGAAACTCAATTTTACTCGACATAGCTTATAGAGCTGTAGTAGTCGTTCAACGCATTTTTGGAAGTAGTAATCGCCTAAAAATATATTATCAGTGATTTTGTGAGAAAAATAGTTTGGTTTTAACAATAGTAAGTCCTTTTATCAATAAAAAACAAGAAAGGAAGCTAACTTTGGCACGCCGAAGTTTCTGTACCCTCGCAGGTCGTTCCTTTGGGACCATTGTATGTACAGGGCCTACTGATTTTTAAAAAACTAAAGTCCAGTTACAAAAATTTTAAGATAATGTATTTTTCTTTTAATTTACTGCCGTGTATGTTTGCCGAAAACGAAATATAATGGTCTATGTAATATTTTGACATTAATTATCCGATCGTTCCTGTGTTATGCGATAAAGCCGTGCGATTTGTTTTAAATTTTATTCGAAAATCTGAAATATTTAAATAATGATAATCACAAAAAAATAAGTTTTTTTTGTCAAAAAACACCGAAGTTATAATGTTTTTTTAAAAATATTTGTTTAATCATTCCTGTGGGAGCTTTAGGATACAGTTGTCCGATCCGGCTCGTTCCGACATATATACTTCCTGTACAAATAGAAATAAGCCTTTTGGGAAGGTTTCATCCTGATAGCTTTAAAACTGAGAGACTAGTTTGCATAGAAACGGATAGACGGGCAGACGATATGGCTAGATCAACTCGTCTAGTGATGCTGATCAAGAATATACATATATACTTTATGGGTTTGGAAACGTCTCCTTTACTGCGTTGCAAACTTTTGACTGAAATCATTATGGTATAAAGAGAGAGATCGAGAGAGAGAGAACGGGTTGGTGAGAGCGTTGGTTCTGTCGATGTTGCCGTCTGCTCTGTCGGAGTCGCAGTCGACAGAGTGATGATTTTGACCAGTAAATTATTGTAGAACTGCTTTCATTTGCATTGTTGTCAAATATTGTGATCGCCACCCAGACAGTTAAAGTAGGTTTTCAGGTACAATGTAACTCGTTTCCCCGGTCGCCTCTTCAGAAAAACGTTTTGAAACTTTCAGAAAAACTAATGTCATACCTGTATACCCCCCTTCTGTATAAATGTAGTTTTCATGCGGAACAGTCAGATTGGGCATAATCTGACGGAAACACAGACAGACGAACATGAATAGGTCGATCGACTCGGCTACTTATTCTGACCACGAATATATGTACTTTATAGGGTCGGAAACGGAATGTATTATAATTTAACGTTTAACTATTATATTTAAGAGCCTATTTGGCTTGATACGTATATACTTCTTGAGCCGAGTCGGTTTACAAATATGTGTTTTTAAAAACAAAACCTAAATAAAAGTCTGAAAGCGTTGCATTTGGCATGGAAAAAGACTGTAAACTTTAAAAGCGGTGCATAAACGCGTTTTACTGTCAACGCTGCGCATGATTGATGGACGCTTAAGGCACCCTATTTTTGCCTAGAAATATCCACTCACAAGGAGCTTCCGCACTCTTCACAGATCCAATATAATTCACCTAGCAACGAGCAGTGGATTAGAAAGGCGATCGATCCGAGTCATTTCCTAAATTTAGACCCGAAAGAACTGCTTTGTGTACGGCTTGGGACCCCTAAAAAAGACGAAATCTTATCGCGGTTGCTATTGAAATCTAGACCCATTCCCCGGAGATATCACCATCTGAGCTGTAAGTGCTCAAGTATGCTATTGCTAGTGATAAGAAAGCGATCCCCAAGTGCTCTGTCCCGTGTCCGTTTGTCCGTAACTCCAGTGGGTACTGTATATGATGACGACTCTATAAACAGACTATGCGGTCTGCCTGATTTATTTGCCATTGAATTGCTCTTTATCGCGGCAGCTGATAGCGCTAGATCAGGAAAAGACATTGAGCCAAAGCACCGGATAGTGCGTATAGCAGACGACAGGCATCGTCCACGGACAAGTTCAAGTTTAATACGGAATCTATTTACAGTGCGCACACATTCGGCCCATTTGGGTCACCATTGGATAACGGTTATCTCTGCACTAACCGGAAATGAACTCACCCGTAAAAAGGTCGGCGAACTCGTCCATCGGAGATCCCTCATCCTCTCCAGGACACGTGGCACGTGGCAGAATATCCAGGAGAAGCTGCTCGTCAAAATACCGCAGTGAGATTTCCAGAAAATTGCTTCCATTGCCAATTGCTGCTTGAAAGAAAAACCATGAGAAGTTAACACATAAATTTACATCGGGTTCTTGACATACATATCTCCCTGTCCTTTTTATATTAATGAAGAATTCGCTTAACGACAAGATAACGATGCATTAAATGAAAACAAGAAGGAAGGGTGTGGTCGAATGCCTCGGCTAATTGGTACCCGTTTTTCTGTTGACCAAATAAGAGGATATTGACAAGATATTATCAGGCCACAGAATTTTGAGAATTTTGGATGATACGGTCAGACTAGATCGACTTGGATAGCCCCCTGATGTAAACATAAAAAAAGGGTTAGAAACGCTTCCATAAATACCCTTGCAGAGGGTATAATGATTTCAGTCAGAAGTTTGCAACGCAGTGACGGAGTCGTCTCCGACCCCATAAAGTGAATATATTCTTGACCAGCTTCACTGGACGAGTGGATCTAGCCATGTCCGTCTGACCGTCTGTCCGTTTCTACGCAATTTAGTCTCTCAGTTTTAAGGCAATCGGGATGAAACCTTCCAAAAAAGTCTTATTTGCATGGCAGGTAGTATATAAATCGAAACGAGCCGAATCGGACAACAACTACGGCTCCCATAGGAATGATCAAAAAAATATTTTTTTAAATATGTAGAAAAAAGATAGCTTCGGTGTTTTTTGACATATAAATTTTCATTCTTGGGAACATAATTATTTTAATATTTCAAAATTTCGAATAAAATTTAAATCAAATCGGACCACTTTGTCAAATATTGTAGCTGTCATAGGAACAAACGGATAATTAATGTCAAAATAATACGTAGACCGTTATATATCGTTTTCGATAAACATACATGGTAGTAAATTGATATGGAACATTATCTTAAGATTTTTATATATAGTTTTTTGTTTTCTAATAATCGGAAATCTCTGTACATACAATGCTCCCACGGGAACGACCCGCAAGGGTATAGAAACATCATGTTTTTAATTCTTGTTAATCATATACGTCATTACACTGGGATATTTCAATGTTTATTTTGAGCACGTTCGAGGAAAAGCAGTGCATTAAAAATATTTAAGTCTTCCATCAGCCCTTAAGCTACGTGTCGTTCTCTGCGCGCTCCATTTCTTTCACTTATGCCTATGCCAAAAGTCTAAAAAATGAACATTTTACGAAAGCCGAAGTATACTTCGGAAGGTTCCCGAAAATTTTCAGAGAGAAAATCTCTCTCTTATTTTTGAACTCTCTTATTTATTTCCACAACCAATAATAAGATGGTGTTGATGCCGAGATTGCTGCTTCTCAATAAACAAGATCGAGAACGATGGGTTCTTAGAACACGAAGTCAGGCATACATTACGGTTGATTTTCAGAACACTTGTACCTAAAAAGGTGACAAAAAATACTGGAATCAAGCAGACTTGTTCTTGGTCGTATTGTACTCTTGTTTTCTTACTTACATCCTAAAAAATAAAATGAACTTGTGTGAGGTTTTTTTCTTATATTTAATTCTAATGTTATTATAAATTTTACTTTCTTTAATGTCGGAACTAAGTATCTATCATTCCGTGGAAGTGGACTTATCTACGTTTGTTTCAGATAGCATTTATTGGCTTTAGAGTTACTCATTCCAAGTTCCCGACTATTATGATTTCATAATATTTTCTGTAGTTCGCGCGAAACGCTCAAAAAAACAAAAAACATTACATTTATATTCGTGGTCAAAAAATCAATTATACAGCCGTGCGCGCAATTAAGTTGGATCAGTTTAATTATGCCTCTGCTCGATTTTGATTGAACATTTTTTACAACATTGTTATTTGTAACTTGCTGTTTGTTATTTTCCTTGGCGTTGAAAAAATTGCATTGGCGACCCGAAATAAGTGCTACAGTCATGGGCATTCGGCTGATGATTTGTTTATGTTTGTCTGGCTTTGTGCGATTGTTTTATGATTCCCGACCGGGGGTTTCTTTATCTTGAGGAAGGGCGAGGACTCCGTCTAGGTCTAGAGCGTTATCAGTTTTACACCCCCCGAACAGTAAATTAATTACCAATGTCAGTCATAATTTTCTGTTTCGTTTTCACTCGCTTTTTTTATTATTATTTTTTGTGCTGTTTTTATTGACCAAGTTCCACACAGCGGGTGCAACCTCTTGACCCGATTTTCCAGATGAACTCGATGCTTCAGCAACGCTCAATGGATCTTCATCACTTGGCCATTGTTTTGGCTTTTTATTTTTTTCTACTTTTGTATATTGCGTGCCAAGAATTCTGGCAGCTGCATAGCAGCAACATCGACGGCTGCACGGCAGCAACATCCCGCGACAAGAGCAATAATTGTTTTATTGTTTTCCACCTGCAATCGCCAGGTGGAGAATTAAAACATGGCAGACAATTGCGGCGGGAAAAACAAAGGCAAATAACATAAAGCAAACATTGGGCGATCTTACATACTCTCTGCACTCAAACTCAGTGGGTCAAATTCACATTTATAATCACGGGCATCCATGACGCCTCCCGCCGAGAAGAAAATTCTTGGCCGACTAAAAAACTAACTTGGCATTGCATCTGGAATGCATTTAGACGTAGTAGCAGTCGCATTCACAGAACGTGTCTACGAGTATTACGGCCAAAAGCCCGAATCGAGCCGAGCTCAGCAGACAAACAAGTTTATTGAACTTGTTGGCAGCTGCCACTTTGAAGTGGAAACACTTGAAATAAATTGGGAAAACTAATTTGAACTTAAAATGGGAATGCAAAGAAATAATATTTTTAATCATGTTCAACAGGGTAAGAAAATAAAGACGAATAGGATGTTTTAAAATCTTATAATTACGTAAAAAATAAAATATGCTTATAATAATTCACTTGTTTTACATAAATGTTTAGAGTTTTATAGGGGAGAGGTCTGTTGGGACACCTTTTGCACGGCGATCTTAGAGAAATATAAAATTCAACGAAATTTTCTTTGCCGAAAGCGGCAAAGCGGTTGCTTGAAGCACTTTAATTTCAATTAAAAGTAATAGCTTTTTCTTCGACCGTTAAGTTTTAAGTATTGAATATTCAAAAGGAATAAATGCCGGTTGTTTAAAGTCTTGTTCGATTTTAATTAATTGATGCCTATAATTTCTAACTTTTGTAGTGTAACGTTATGGTCGACATAACTATTTCGCTAAAAGTGGGGTATCCAATCATACGATTAGCAAAATAGAAAACATTATATTAGTATTTCAATATTTCTCTACTTATACCGACTAACACATTTGACCTACGTTTTATACAGCACAGAAAGTAAATAGTATTTAAATTTTTGGTTAAAGTAAGTTCTAAGAAGCGAATTTTTTTTTAAAGGTAGAAATCAAATGATTATAAAAAGTTCCATACGTGTAGGGTAAATACAAATAATGGGGAATTTGAATTAATGGAAAACGTTTCTTTGGGTGCAGCGCAAAGCTTATGAGATGTATTGGAAAACCCAATCTCGAGTTAAGTTGAAAGTCCAGTCAAAGTCATGTTTTGTTCCTGAGAGCCGGCCGGCTTGCGGAAATTGGGAAAATTTCGCTGAGAGCCGAAAGCTCTCGTTCAGGGCTAAATCGGCAATTATGGGAAGCCCCAGACCTGTAGGCACCGCCCACCGATTCGATCAATTGTGGAACATCAAGATACCAAGGCGTTCCGCCGGTTTTGTAATCAGTAATCAACACGTTCTTCTTTGTTCCAATTACCTCAAAGCGAGGGTCCAAACAAGAGTTTTAAAATGGTAAACACGATTTATTGGTGCGCTCCCAGTTGTCCTATGTCGAATGAATATTTAAACTACGGGAAACGGGTATAAATATTGAATATCCCAAAATTAAAAAAATTGTGTACTGATGTTTATAATTTGTTCTCAGATAATGTACAAGCTTTAAGAACTATAAAAATGGGAAAAAATTTTTTGCTTGCGCAAATGTTTATTAAGATGAGGGTATTTGTACAGAACAGAAATTCATAAATGTTATGTGCAACTTACCTAAAGAAAACTTCCGATTTGTGTAGAAACACATAAGTAGCAAGCGAATAGCCATGGCATGAAAAGGGAGTGGTAACAAAACGCATGAGAATGACGGTTTATGGAACAGAACAACGTACGGTAACTTATTGAATGATACAAAATTTGTAATTCTCTACTATAGATTAATCTTGCAGTGTTTATTTACTTTGTAAACTAACTTTAGGAAAGATCGATAATCAACGATTATTGATTTTAAATTGAGAAGAATCTCTTTCTTCTTTCTCTTAAATGTGGATGTCAACGTTATTTGTGTATAGTATATATACATATTTGTTTGTGCGGATGAGTCTTGAAATCTGGAGAAACTAAGTGCTTTGGACCCATGTTGCATGGAGTTGCCTCACGTTAACAGACGATCTTGTTTACTTGTTTGCGCAAGCAAAACAAAACAATACCGAGCAGCACTACACAAATAGCTGAATAAAAATAAATAGATAGTAATGCTTAAACTCGAACTCAAGATCGGCAACAAGAAAATGGGGCTGTCAGAAAACGACTGTAATTACTGGTCTATGTGGACAATTATAGCTCCGCGAAAAGTCCCCGCCTGGCACTTCCCAAATTTGATCTGTGGTTTAAGTGCAGCCAACCTCCTACATCACCAGACCCACAAATTTCTTTTCATCGTTCTAACGAAAATCGCAATTCGGAATTACCAAACACCAAGTAAGCATATGAATCACATCGCATATGGCATCAAATGTGGGCATCGTATTTATAGATCTCTGGGCTCTGGGTTTTGGGATGATATTAGCGTTTCCCAAGAATCTGGGAATCACCTGGACGGGCCCTGCTATCGTTTAAATCGTTTAAAGCTGTCTCTAAGCGCCGATTTTTATTATCCAAGCCGATTATGGCGATGATTGTGCCCACGTTAAGATCAAGATCATGAACAGACAAATTTATCATCGTGAAGTGGGTAACAACGGGAGGAGAACATATTGCGTTACTTGAATGTTTGTCGGAAACTTATTTTCTAGTTTTGTAAGGTAACTGGAAAGAAGTGTCAGGAAGGAGTGAAGTTAATAAATAACGGCTGCCAAGCTTTAAATTGTAAAAGGTATCATTGTAAAAAAGAGTCGAACTAGGTTTGTGACGCTTGATAATTATAATAACAAACAAGAGAAAACGCTATAGTCGACGCCCTTGACTATTAGATACACGTTATTCAGCTTAAAAGAGTACGTGATTGCACACCACACAAAAGCGCCACCTATCGTTCATTCCTATCGGCTGTTTATGAGATTTCAGTTACACGCCACATAACGTGAAACCAAGTTTGCGTTAATGAAATTTCTTAAAAAGCCGATTTGCTGTATGAATATATGAACAAAAACACCTCTTAACGAGGTAAAAATCTAGTGACGATCGCACTTTCAACAAAAAAAAGTTCTGATATCAACTTTTGTGACGAATTGTATTATACGATCTACTAAAAAAATACACTTTCTAAATTTTTTACATTCGGCACGCTGCAATTCAATATGCCTATGTTTAGCTGTACGATTCTGATAAAGCGTGTCGAATGTTTCTCCCAAGCAATTATTTTTTTTTTGTATGCACTCCTTTTAGTTTTTGCGATACCTTTCTATTGATGATGTATCGCTCGTAACGATCGGACGATCACAGTAGATTTTGGCATATAGATGGGTAATGATAATAGGAAAAAAAAATATTTAAAAACGTGGGCGCTAGACGGGTTTTAGCCTTATGGGCGCTTGTGAGCATTAGAGTGGGCGTGTCACCCTGCTGAAACAAACTTGCGGTTTGCAGGAAGCCCATGAATCTGCATGCTTAAGCCCAACATTCTAGCTATTACAGTCACACGGACACATTTATTAAAAATTGTATATGGGTGATAGATCCCCCCTCATGCTAAAAAGTAAAAACAAAAAAATATTTATAGGGTATTACAATTCAAATATGTGTTTTTTTTTAATATTAATGAAATTATACGAAGTTATAATATTTTTCTAGCACACAGTCTGACAAAATTTTCTTCTTTTGGTTTCAATTTCGTTTCGCCTATTTGCTGATATCTTCAAGTCTACATCCGACTAAATAAATACACTTTCTAAAATGATTTTATTCTGCCCGCTTCATCAAAATATTACAGCTTCTTGAATACAAAGGTGTATTCTATTGTGGCGTGCCGAATGAAAACATTTTGCACATGCTTGCCCCGCCCACTTTAACACCCACAAACCGCCCACAAACTTTAAAAAATCGTAAATATGAACGCGGATATCTAAGAAACTATCGAGGTTAGAGAATTGGGACTTCAGATTTAGATTCCGTAGCCTTGTACGCAGCGCAAATTTGCTACGCGAATATGGCACGCCCACTCTAGCGCCCACAAACCGCCCAAGCCTGTGGCGCCCACAATTTTCATGATAGATAAAAAATTTTTAACTTTATCGCTCAATATCTTTTAAACGGTAATTTTTATGAAAAAAAGTGTTATATATCAACACTTGAGGAATCTCAGGGATTGTATAGTTTGAAATTTATTTAGAAATCGTTCGAATCAACTTTGAGAAAATAGCTAAAAAGTGGTTAAGAACAAAAACTTTTAGAAATAACTTTAAGTCCATTGTACTGAGAATATTTTAGTAAGGGTAACGTGACTAGCAAATCATACTACCTTTTCAGCGACATATAGTACGAATCTGTAGCATTAGTTGTTTCGAAACTATAAGACTTTAAAATCTAGCTATTTTTTTTGGATTTCCCGCCAAGCGAGCGGGTCTTTCCAAAAGTCGTAGAACAAAAGTTTTCTATTTCGAGCATTTTAATACACATATATAGTCCCAAAGACCCTAAACCAAAAAGGGATTCATACAATCCCACAAACATAGGGACAAACATTTTCATTTTGATAAGTTCCCCAAACTCTTGTTGTTTGTATTCTCAGTAAGTCTAGAACTAGGTTAATAGCCGGGAGCATTTATCCCCACCAGACCCAACAGCTTCAATTTTCTAAATTTTCACTTTTACACTTTCACCGCTTTTTCTCCCAAACAAATTTCTAAAGTCTTGATATGCAATCTTCTTAGTTTTTGCGATACCTTTCGATTGGTGCATCATTCGTTACTATCAGACAGCAGATTTTCAATTCTGCGGCTATATATAGTAGACACCTGCGCACACTCTCCCGGTGCGCTTCGTCACTACGTCCACATTGGTGTGCATCAACCTGCTAAAACCTGTATAAACCGAAAACTAGGGGTCCGAAAAAACCCAAAACATCGTTTACAGGATCAAAAGATTTTGTTAAAAAAATCGAAGAAGGCATAATTTGCTAATATTTAAAAACATTTTTAAAGTATGTTTTTAAATTATTACTAACAAATTGTTTTTTCTGTATATTTGACATGTTTCGCACAAAAAAGGAAGGAAGGTTGCATAAAAACCGGTTGACTCGTTTAAATGTTGTACTTTCTGAAAGATTTTCGGCCGAAATAAAGGGCGGCAACCCAACATGCGATAACCCTCAAGACAAACTTTTTGTGGAAGATTTGACGTACACTACTACGTGAAAAATGACGGAAAATGTAGATTTCCTTTTTTTTTGAGTTGCCGGTTTTCCAGAGAACCCATATGTATTATTGATAATACGTTTCGTAACGGAAGTATGACACTCATTAAGAAGATAAAAATGTCATTATTTCATTATTTAAGAAAATACTACATAGCCAAATCTCAATATTTAGAAAGACACAAAAAAACGGGACGAGCGACAAAACACTACCCACTAAAGTTTTGTAGGCGTTAAAAAAATAAATATTGTTATTATTTAAAGATATTAATTTAGGAGGCCGATCATACATTTTGTGATATATTTAATCAGAGCTTCTTTAAAAATCTCTGCTGAAATGTTGCCAATGGAAAAATTTCCAATCAGATTGAGTTGATTGAAAAAATCAGAGCACCTAGATAAGTGAAAAACAATCGGGTTTCTTGGTCGTTTCGGCCCATAACGCGTAATCAAGAATTTTTAGTGAAATTGGCTTGTGGTGATAATGGACTCGGTACAATTTAAATGACCGGAACACTAGATAGTGGCCGGCCACAAAAAAAACTATATCTGTGCTGACTATTACGATCGCGTTTTTCCACAGAACTCGGCCTCAAATCGCGGGTAACTCACTTCAATTTACTCTGGGTTCCTCGATAAGGGAGCACGCCACTGATGCAAACCACCACCCACACACCAGGTGGATCATCCTTGAAAATAGAAAAACGAACCTACAAATGTAATTGCTAAGGAAGCATCCATTTGCCGTCGGTGAATAAGTGCTACATTATTGATCGATCGAATCGTTCCATACGTCCAGTAAATAAGTGCGAACTGAACCGCTTTTGGGCGACAGGAAGTCTAGATAAGCGAGTGGCTAATGATTAGACTAGGGTCTAAAGCCATTGGACTAGTGAAGAGCCGAAAAGTCACTCAAATAAGTGAGAAACATTTCTAATTTAAGAGTAAACGACCGTCTAGTTTAACTATAATATTGGAATGATTTATTACCCTAGTTTCCTTATAAATTTTGTTCTGGTTGTTTCAAGCTGTAATTTATTTTAAGTATTATTTTTACCATAATTATTAGTAACAACATTTAAAAGTAGAATGTTTTTCCAAAATTGGGCCAACTGGTTTTTATATTTAAATTTAGCATCCAAGCTCATTATAAAAGCTGCACTTTCTTGCTTGATTTTTCAAATAAAACAGTAAAGCTAAATTCTTTCCCTTGGGAGAATTGTATGTACAGAGCGTTCCGATTTTTTGAAAACTAAAAACTAATCACAGAAATTTGAAGATAATGTTTCATTTCAATTTTCTACTGTATTTTGACATTAATTATCCGATCGTTCCTATGGCACTATATCCGTCATCCGACTTTTTAAAATTTTTTTTTGAAATTCCAAAATATTAAAATTATATTCCCAAGAGTAAAAGTTAATATGTCAAAAAATACCGAATTTATAATTGTTATACCCTTGTTGAGGATATAATGATTTCAGTCAGGAGTTTGCAATCCAATGAAGGATACGTTTCAGATATATATTCTTGATTACCATCACTAGACGAGTCGAACTAGCCATGTCCATCAGTCCGTCCGTCCATTTGTCCGTCAGTCTGTCCGTCCGTCCGACTGACGACCGGCTGCGCTGGAAGCCCAAGAATCTGCATGCCAACTCCCAAAATTCTATTCCTTATAGTTTCCGAGATCTCAGCGTTCATACCGACGGACGGACATGGCTAGATCGACTTGGCAAGTGATCCTGATCAAGAATATATATGGGATTATGTTTTCCTTTTTTTTTAAAAATTAAGTGATGCACATCTATGCCACGACATTTTAAAAGTGTATAGCTCATATTTCCTAGAATACAACATTTGCTGACCACCAACTCTATCTTCCCACACTCACCTTCCGCTTGAGTATCCCTTAAAAGGCATCCACAAATTATTAGGAATAGGGCCAAAAGGGCAGTTTTAACCATTTCAAATATTAAGTGTTAAAAAAGAACAAAAACAAACGGCGACGAAACGTAAAAAATAAAAAACAATTTGGGATAATGCACGTGCTAGCGGCACTTTAGCCGATTTTATAATTTATTTGTAAACCTTGTTGTAGAATGGGGAACACACACGGCGTATGCGCACCGGAGCGCTCGAATTCGTTTTGCTAGCGGAAATTCAAACTTTCGGTGTTTCGGTTTTCGAATTTTCGGACTTCCGTTCTCGGTACCTAATTCGTGTTGCTGGCAAGCTCCAGCAAACCGCTTGGCTAGAATTGTATCGAACAACTAATTAACTGCGACCCGCTCGCGCCCGTCTTAATAATAAACAGCGACGTCGGCGGTAGCGTCGGCAGAAGCAGCGGCGGTAACGTCGACAGAGGCAGTGGAGTAGCTTCGTATTGACGGTTTTACCAAGATATCTCTCTAGTACGTCTAGTCAAGTAATGTCGGTTGGTGCAGGTTGCTGGTTATATGGCCAGATTTTATTTCCCCTTTTCTATCTCCCCTCCACCCACTCTGCTTCTCCTCCTCCTTTAATAGTATTTCCTGCTCCTTCTCCTTGGTCCTTCTCCTACTTTAGCTTCATAAATATTCACTATTTATTTCGTTAAACCCATTGGCCGAAAAAATGTGGTAATCGCATTGGGTTTACCCGCTAGGAAAAGGAGATATTGAGTGCAGAATAAGTGGGGAATACTCACAAGCCCCCTGAAACGTTGCTGTCAGGAAATGTCCAACCTCTAGGTTTACGTGTCAAAATTTAGAAAGTGTATTTATTTGATGAACTGTATAATATATTTTCGCCACGATAGTTGATGTCAGAACATTTGTATGTTAGAGGTGCGATTGTCACTAGATTTTTACCTCGTTAAGAAGTATTTTTGTTTGATATTAAAAAGTCAATTAATTTCACATTGTTAGATTTTAATCTAGTATACCTCAATACCACGACCAGAAGTCTTCCACATATTATTTCGTTTGTACTTATACAAATGTTAAATCATCTAGCTAATTTTTTATTGTAGCGAGATCGTCACTTTATTTTAACCTCGATAAAGGTGATTTTGATGAGATATTAAAAGCCAAGGAATCTTAAGGCTCTATAGTTCCAAGTTCCAAAACAAATCAAGCTTCTTTTGATTTCCCGCCAAACTAGCGGGTGTATCCAAATGTGTTAGTAACTCTAGCAAAACGGCTTTCTTGAAAACATCGAATCAAAATTTTGCCCACCAATTGGACTTGCATAGTTTTTTGCATGAAAGTTAATTATACTGAACCCTTACGAAGATTGCAGTTTTATCGTTCAACATCTTCCAACCGATAATTATACCCCTTACTCGTAGAGTAAAACGGTTTACTAGATTTCGCAGAAAGTATGCAAAGGGTAGAAGAATGCGTTTCCGACCCCATAAAGTTTACATATTCTTGATCAGGATCACTAGCCGGTCGATCTAGCCATGTCCGTCTGTCCGTATGAACGCTGAGATATCGCCAACTATAAAAGCTAGATTGTTGGGATTTGGCATGCAGATTCTAGGGCTTCCTGCTCAGGGCGGGTTTCGGCAGGGTGCCACGTCCACTCTAACGCCCACAATCGACCATAACAAAAATGTGAGTTTGTTTTTATTATCAACACCACCCTAGTTGCCAAAAAATGATTGAAAATGGACCACTTAATATAAAGTTATCAAATATTTATTCGGTATTAATATTTTTCAAATTCAGTCGAGATTGTACACCACATGCAGCAAATCAGCTGTTTTCACTAATAGGCCACCAAGCCGCTATGAGCACTATGGGGTAGTTGGTGTTATAGACTTGGTTGCGCTAGGTGGCGCTAGCCACAAGCAAACATATCTCCATCCCTTTCGCACTCTCTTTAGCCGATGCCATGATGTTAGGTATCAATAGTTGTGGAATGTCAATTGATTTAAGGTTTCGAATGTAATTAAATATATTAATGCCATAATCTAGAATTCAGGTCTCTAAAACCATAACGGGATCTACCATATCCACAAACAAAGGGACAAAAAATGGCATTTTAAAAACAGCCTCAAAATTTAGTTTTTGGAATAACGGAGCATCGGATTTAAACAAATGAGGAGTCATTCGACGCTGGCAATTTCAACAACGACCCAAAACCTCCAATTTCCCTATTTTTCACTTTTACACTTGGTATGCAATCCCTTTAGTTACATTTCGATTGGTATATCACTTGTTCTGATCGGATTATCACAGCAGACTTTAATTTCATCGTGTATGTATAGTAGTCGCCTCGCACTCTCTCCCTGTACGCTTCACCCCTACGTGTATTGCCGTCCACAGTGATAAACACGTTTTTTATATTTTTTGAAAGGCCAGAAATAACCAATTTAACTAACTAACTAATGGTCTGATTTAATCAACCTTTGGCAACTTTCGATAGATATTGATATAAAAAATAAAATAAAATTTATTCTGAAAAAAATTGACACATCCGAATCACAAATTACCTCCACTTACGATTTATTTTTTAGCGGCGGTTTCCCATCAGAGAAATAGTGAAAATTTTGGGAGCTTCAACTTTGCATTAAATTCCAAAGACATGGATAATGGTTCTAGATGGGGACTTTTTTTAGAAATACCGTCATGTATTGAGAAAGTATTTCAGCAAAAATATTGAAGATATGTCCAATTATGTGGGCCATATAATTCAAAATGTCAGCAAACATTGGTTTTTGGTATTTTTAGCTATACCGCGGAACCTGTAGGTGATGGAAAAAAAAGGTTTCTATGGGACTTTTACTCAGGAGCACCCAAATATCTTGGAAAACTAGAAATGGTTCGTGGAAATCTCACAAAGTTCAATTTTGTGGTCCTGTGTAATCAACCCTTCTGTTAGCATTAAACTGTCCAAAATTGTCTAATATTTTAGGTGTATTGGAGTCGAGCAGCTGTCCGAGCTGACTTATCGCCATTTGATTGATATAACCATGTACAGATAAACACAAGCATTTTAGAGCCTTTGGTAGCTGCTACGCCATTGTTTGGCCGAGAATCATGACGTTAAAAAATATATTAGACGTCATGACCGCCAACAAAACCCCCCAAAAAAAAAAGTCCCAGTAAGAGGGCTGAAATCTGAATCGAAATCAAATTCAGAAGCGAGCTGATTTTATTGAACGTAATGGGTGATGATAAAGGCACGAAAACACTTTATTTACTGAAGAACGTCTATAAATATGTTTTCTTAATTATTATTTACAATTCACTGCGGACAAAATAATCTATTCAAACAAAAGAAAGGAAATAAATTAAAGAATCTACGTCATAACACAGGTAATTTAAAAAAAAATTAATCTAATGGATCTAACAGAAAATTATTTGCTGATATGTTTTGATCCAAACAAAAATTGACTGTGTTCTTAAAGCAGGCTTTTAACTGAAATGTATTGTTCTCATTAATACCTATCGATTGACCTAAAAAAGTTTGCCACGCCCAATTTAACGCCCACAAACCGCCCAAACCTGTGACGCCCAAAATTTTCATGCTAGATAAAAAATTTTAGCTGAAATGTATTGGTCTCGTCAATACCTATCGATTGAGCCAAAAAAAAAAATTAAATCTGTCTACCGCCGGTAGGTGGCGCATTTTAATCTCGCTTTGCTGCTTTCATATCTCCATTTAGTTGAGTAAATGGTAAATGGCTGATAGTCGAGGTACCGACTATACCGTTCTTTCTTGTTTTTTGTTCCTATAAGTCTCTTCCCACAGACTCCATTCCTGTAAAACATATAAAATTTCTGACAATTATTTAAGTCTGATTTCCGCAGAGGACATCCACCATCCGCTATCCAATAACAGTTGACGTGAATAGCAGTTACTGCTTACAACATAAGCGATGGCGAATTTAAAATCGGCGAAACCGCCGTAAAATTAGTTTCCTACTGTTATTTTATAAAATACCATAATGTGACAGCTATACTGCAATACAGCAAGTCGGTATAAATGTTGCGATAATATTAACAAAACAAAAGTCGGCTCTCGCCAAAATTCTACACTATGTATACGAGGGTGCATCATATATTTATATTTTACACGACAACGCTGGAGTGATTTCTGTGGCACCAATGATAGACTGTCTGTTATTCAAATGTGCCACGCTCACTCTAACGCCCAGAAGCCGTCCAAAACTCTGGCGCTTATGCTTTGATGCTAACATTGCAACAGAAATATATTGGTTTCGTCAATACCGGTCGATTGGCGTAAATAAGTTTGCCACACCAACTCTAAAGCCGACAAAAGCCCATAACGCTAAAAAATATATATCTAACGCCAACATTTTTAAAGATTCTGGAAAAGTGTAAATGGGATTTTGCTTATTAATACAATTTCTAAATGGCTACAAGCTTTTTAAATCGGACCATTCATTAGAAAGTAATGACCAAATAACGTAATCGCCTCTATTGGAGCATTGTAATTTCGGACAAAGTCGCTTTGCTGGTGGCATTTCTTCCTTTTACCTTGGCTAAGTAAAGGATATTTAATAATTTAGACTATAGCTTACGCCTTTGTTTTATATGGAGTTTTTTTGTTTTGGACGGCGTTTTGTATGGTTGAATACCAGTCCTTAAATAGTCGTAAGAAGAAATGTCTTCTGCTTGTGTAGCTTGTGAATGCCATGGATATTCTTAGAATAAAAGAGTGTATTCGGGGAAAAATATGTATCAGGTAAAAGAAAGTGTTTCGGACCCTATAAAGTATATATATTCTTGTTCAGGATCACTAGCCGAGTCGATCTAGCCATGTCCGTTTGTCCGACTGACCGTCTGTTCGTGTGAACGCTGTGATCTAGGAAACTACATATAAGAGCTAGAGAGTTGAGATTTAGATTCCTTAACTTTATATGTTACCGAATATGCCACGCCCACTCTAACGCCCACAAACAGCCCAAAACGTTGGCTTCTTCAGTTTTAAGGCTAGCAAGAAATTTAGTTACATTTTAGTTAAAATTTTTGACTCTCGCAAATACATTGACTGACTTAAAAAAAATGTGGTCACGTTCCCTCCTTGCCAATTTTGGACGAACTTTCCATCATTCCTGAATACCAATTCGGATTCAGGAGAGGTCATGGGACCCCTGAGCAATGTCACAGGGTCATTAATGATGTAGTATCTGCATTTGAAAACAAAAAATACTGCACAGCTGCATTCCTTGATGTTCAACAAGCGTTCGATCGAGTCTGGCACAATGGCTTATTGTACAAGATAAAGAAATGGCTACCTGCTCCGTACTTCTTATTGATCAAGTCGTAT